AAGTTACAGGATATAGGGAGGGGAGCAAACATCACACGAGGACTTTGCCGCCTCTTCTGGGGAAGGGGTTGTGCATTTTCAGTTGTACACAGGATGGGTGTGTATCATGTTAGATGGAATGATGACCTTTGATATTGTCTTTATTTGGATATTAAGTGTGGTTTAAGGAGATGTGATGGATGCCAAGGTGACAAGGGGTGGACTTATGATGGTTAATTTTATGTGTCACCTTCGCTGGGCCAACAACACCCAGATTAAAATTATTTCTAGGTGTGTCTGTGAGGGGGCTTCAGGATGAGATTACTGTTTGAATGAGTGAACTCAATATAGCAGATGGGCCTTCCCCATGGTGGGTGGGAGTCATCCAGCCCTGTTAAGCTCCCAAATAGGACAAAACGCAGAGGAAAGAGAAATTTGCCCCTTTTGCTTCCTGCCTGCCTGCCTGAGCTGGGACATCCTTCTCCTGCCCTTGCCCTGGGATGCACACCATCTGCTCCCTCGGCTCTCAGGCCTAAGGTCTTAGACTGCATTATACCACTGGCCGTCCTGGGTCTCCAGCTTGCAGGTGGCAGATGTAGGAATTCATAGCCTCCATAATCAAGCCAATTCCTCACAGTAAGTCTCCTCATATATGCATATCCTCTTGGCTCTGCTTCTCTGGAGAACCTGGCTATTAGAGTTTGTCACTCTATTCCTGTCACCAAACCCATGCAGTACCCTTAGGTGAGCAGTGGTGCTTCCCACTGGCCAAATCCACCCAGACGCCAGAGGGCAGGGAGCTCTTCGCTGTAGCTCCAGCAGGCTGGCCTCCTGGGCACAGCACAGGGGAAAAGAGCAGAAAGCGGCCCTGGAGAGACCCAAAGAAGACATGCTGGGGCCCCACCTTCTAAACAGAGCTCCTTTTGGTGACTTGGCTCAAGAGCAATAAGTGAGGACAACGAGACCAGGGATCTGGCCTCAACTCCATATTCCGCTACCTTCAATCCATCCTTTCCATTGTCTGGGCCTCAATTTTTCCATTTGTAAAATGAAAAGGAGGAAAGGGGGTACCTGTCACCATCTTGGGTACCTAACTCACTCACCTCCTAGGCTCTTGGAGAGGGGTTCACTACCCAGCCAGCCAAGACACAAGATCTCACATACCTGCACCGTGGTCTCTGAAGAAAAGACAGAAACCCTCCCGACTCTCAGTGCAGACTGATTTCACAGATCTGAGCTGTAAGTTTCTACCCAGAAAGCTACCTGGTCTATTTCAGGATCCAGGTGAAAGTTGTCTTCCCTTAAAGTAGCATTTCTCAACATAGGGAATTAGCTCATAATGTCAATCATGGGCCCCACCACCACAGATTCTAATTCAAGATAGGCTATCGTAGGAATTCCATGCAGGTTCTCCTTGTACCACACTTTGAAACCTACTGTCTTAATGAACAATGGGTTGCATCATACTCTTACATAATAGTGTAAGAATTTTTAAGTTCATTTCCTCCTTAATGAAAACAAGCTATTATTCTGTAATGGTTATTTTTTAAAAACAACAATAGGGGTTTGGGGCATTCAATCCAGTTAATGCACTGCAGCATAGAACTGCTTGCTAAGTAGTAAAATTGCTTTTGAAAACATGATCAAACATCAGGCTAATCAGCCAGGTGTTAGGCTCTCAATCACAAGCCTCAAAACACATAATCAAGTATCAGTAAGCAGGTGTTTTAAGTGAAGCTTGAGATAAACAGTTGCCTTTGTGGTTACTTAGGAGGTTTTGCAACATTAAAATGGAGTACCTCACACTCAAGCAAGCCAACTTCAGAAGCTTCTCAGCTGAACAAATCCGGGCAATAATTAGCACGGGACATTTTAAATAGACTGCAGTTTAAAAGCCTTGAATCTTATTGAGGAAATCTGTTTTGTTTCCTTTATTCCCAATTGTCTTCAAGATTTTGCTCTGATAGATACTGACTCTTTGATAAAAAGTCACTAGACCACATTTCACTTTTTTCAGATGGAAGATTTTGATCCCTTTAAAGAAAATTATGTTCAGATCATATACATACATTCAATATCACAATGTTCACATCATATACATACATTCAATATCACAATGCCAGGGCCCCACCCCACCAATCTTTCCAATGTGACAAGAATAGGACTGGGAGTTCTGAAGTAAAACCCAAGTTCCACTTTAGAAATTACTTTTCATGGCCAGGCACGGTGACTCATGCCTGTAATCCCAGCACTTGGGGAGGCCGAGGTGGGCAGATCACGAGGTCAGGAGATCCAGACCACAGTGAAACCCCACCTCTACTAAAAATACAAAAAAAAAATTAGCCAGGCGTGGTGGCGGGCCCCTGTAGTCCCAGCTACTCAGCAGGCTGAGGCAGAATGGCATGAATCCAGGAGGCAGAGCTTGCAGTGAGCTGAGATCACACCACTGCACTCCAGCCTAGGCGACAGAGCAGACTCCGTCTCAAAAAAAGAAAAAAAGAAAGAAATTATTTCTAATTCTCTCAAGTATTCAAAATGGCTTCTCAGTGGTCCAATAAATAATACAACATAACTCCATGAAAATCACTGAAAGATCCAGGGGACAACGTAAGGTGACCATCCTCAGCAGAAGTGCTCATTTTAAGAGCCAATATTAATCATGTAATAACAGAATCAGTCCAATGGGATTGAGCTCTATCAGTCACAAAATGTAACAAAATGATGAGTTGCTTTCAGTTGCAGTGGACCTCCAGCTTGCAAGTCACATAACCTGAGCATGCCCAGATCAACCAAGCCCACCCAATTTGTGACCCTGTAGGCGTCCAGAGTGAAAACATCAACCACATATGGAACCTAAGTACTCAGATTGAAGAAGAGGGATCAAATTAAGAAGAGAGGGGTGCCGTGTTTTGTTGCATTACAGACTTAAAAGGCAAGGACACCTCACCACCTCTTTGCATGGCCCAATCAGATCATGCCTCGTTGCATTTTCCTGTGTCTCTGATTGTTATTCCCTGTGTATAAAACCTGCTCTCAGGCCCTGACTTGGGGAGACAATTTTGAGTGTTGCCTCCAATTTCCTTGCCAGTTGGCCTTGCAATAAAGCTTTTTCTTTTCTCAAAAGCCTGTGCCGTAGTATTGGCTTCTATGAACGTTAAGAGGAAAGCCCACGACTCAGTAACAATCAGACTGGCCTGTCACTTAGGTTTATTCGAGTTCACCCACACGATTTATCTTAGCGAATGTTAAGAAGGGTTCCCTGCTTACAACTGTAGCTCATAAATTTCTGCTAATTTCCCTTGATTGTGAATAGCAGTTTAGTTTTGAGAGAATTTGGTTTTTGGGTTTTTGTTGTTGTTGTTGTTGTTGTTTTGAGATAGGGTCTCACTCTGTCGCCCAGACTGGAGTGCAGTGGTGAGATCTCGGCTCACTGCAACCTCCACCTCCCAGGCTCAAGCAGTTCTCCTGCCTCAGCCTCCTGAGTAGCTGGGATTATAGGCACGCAGCACCACACTAGGCTAACTTTTTTTTTTTTTTTTTTTGTATTTTTAGTAGAGACAGGGTTTCACCATGTTGGCCAGGCTGGTCTTGAACTCCTCAAATGATCCACCCGCCTCGGCCTCCCAAAATGCTGAGATTACAGGCGTGGGCCACCACGCCTGGCCTTGAGAGAATTTCTTATGTTTCACTTTCTATTTCTCTTCCCTCTCCCCCTGGCCTTGTATTGCCATCAAAATATTAGTTTCCATTCTTATAATTTTATCTCTCCAGTTAAAGGAGCATTTGCTCATACATGATACCAACTAAACAGAGTCCCAGTTGCCCTTGCCATTCAATAGATACAGAAGTTTGTGACACAGAAAAATTTCATTCTCAATTGTGCATATCAATGTACTCCTCTGAAACAAAATTGAGAGAGTCTAACCAGGTCTGAACAAACCAGAGGTTCTGAGATTGTGGCTTCTGAAAATGAATAAGCCCAAAGAACTTCATTCTTCCCTGTCACCAGTCCCTGAAACCTGTCAGTAATTGCAGAACCACATTAGGACTTCTCTTTCTTTTTTTTTTTTTTTTTTTTTTTTTTGAGACGGAGTCTCGCTCTGTTGCCCAGGCTGGAGTGCAGTGGCCGGATCTCAGCTCACTGCAAGCTCCGCCTCCCGGGTTTTACGCCATTCTCCTGCCTCAGCCTCCCGAGTAGCTGGGACTACAGGCGCCGCCACCGCGCCCGGCTAGTTTTTTGTATTTTTTAGTAGAGACGGGGTTTCATCGTGTTAGCCAGGATGGTCTCGATCTCCTGACCTCGTGATCCGCCCGTCTCGGCCTCCCAAAGTGCTGGGATTACAGGCTTGAGCCACCGCGCCCGGCCTAGGACTTCTCTTTCATATCATCTTCCTCTTTTCAGCTGCGGGATTCAGCTGGGTGCTGCTTCATGTGTAGTTAGGGCTTTTATGTCTCAGGACATTAAAACCTGAAGTTTGAGTCTATTTGCAAAGATAAAAATTTTCCACTCTAACCCAGGGAGTCTGGCTATCTTTGGGCTTTTCTGATCTTCCTTTGTCATGTAACACCCTTCTTTCTTTGGTCTATGTACATCTCATCTTTTCTCTCCCGACAGCCCAGGAAGCATTAACCTAGACTTCTCCTGATGCAGAGGGAACTCATCAGCCCTTTCAGCAGCCTACACCATTGGAGTGGGTATTACAACCTTCAGCTGGGCTGAAAATTTCATCAGCATTTCATCATACAAATGATTCAGAACAATTCAATCAAGATTTTTCCTCTTCACTGTGCTTCAGGAAACCTCTGACCTCTTATTTCAGGGAGAAAATAGAAATCCTCAGATGGAAGCTCTATCAATTTTTTGCCTGCCTCCTCTAATCTAAAAATTGCTTTCTACCATCCCTTCTGCCCCAGTGGAATAGAGGCCCCTCCTTCCCGCTAGGCCAATTCCTTCACCAATTTTCAGACCTCAACTTCATCAGCCTCTGTCTCCTGCATCTTCAGCGTCCCCCTCTTTATTGGTGCTGGCTCATCACCATTTGCATGTAACAGAATGTTAAGTAAGAAGCTGAGACCAAGGCACCATGACGTAATAACTGCTACATTCCAACGGGTGTTTTCACACCTGCTATACCAGGTGTGAAATTTCAGAACAGCACAACGAAGAACCAGTATAATGACTTTTTAATTATCTCATTCATGTGGAGGACAAAAAGGGTCCAAGGAGGGGGACTGAGAGTGGATTTTTGAGCAGAGCCATTAGCATGCTGTGTGTCTTATCCCCAAAGGACGGAAGGATGAAAGGGATGTCTGCCCTCACCTCAAGCTGGTGAGAAAGCTTGGCAAGATTAATATGTGCCTCCTGCAGTTGCGGGGCTGGAGGGACTGGGATCTTGACCATGCCTGACAAGGTCAGAGCAGCCTGTGGCCGCAGGGTAGAGGACAGAGTCTAGGAAGTTCTCTCACTCCCAGGGAGCAAATGTAAGAATCTTCATCAGGGAGAGGCTACCTGAAAGAGGGGACCCGGCAGTCAGGGGCTCTGGGTGATTCTGGTGGGTAGAGCTTGAGGGCAGCACTGAGGGAGGCTCAAGGGTGACAGGCCAGCTAGGAAGGTGCAGTTTGAAGGGCTCACCAGGCAAATCTTCAAGGAACCCATGAAACGTACAGAGATGGTTGGCTATAAGCATCTGAGGGCCCAGAGAAGGCAAAGCCATCTTGCTACAGAGCCAGCTTCACTTGCATCCCTCCTCCTGGTCTGACCCTGGTGGGAGAAGCACAGTTAGCAAGCCCGGACTGAGAAGAAAGGTGAGGTTGAGAGAGAGAGGAGGACCCTGAGAGCCCCAGCATCACAGCCAGGGGCCCGCTGGGGAGAGGAGAGAAGAGGTAACATTAAACCAAGTTCCAATTGATTATTATCTTGGAGTAGACTTAATTAATTTAGAATTAATTAGAGTTAATTAATTTAGAATTAATTAGAGTTAATTAGCTGCAATTGTGACCTAATGTGATTCCAAACTTTTTTTAACATAAAAGGAGCCAGAGAAATGACAGTGTCTTGAGCAGATTAAAGGGACAATGGAAGACAAAAAGTAAGACTGCTTTGCAGAAAATCCACCAGGAGTGCTGGAGTTCCAGACTTCCACTGACACACAGAGTGAGCCTTCCATTGCTGGCCTCTATGTCCACTTCTAGCTTTGTCTGATCCTTTTCCTCACCCTCATGCAACACTATTAAAGGAATTTTCCATGCTCCCTGCCACTACTTGATCATCGTCCATTTATGGTTAAGCCACAGCCACCTCACTCCCACCCATGACATCTCCGGAAAAGGTTATTGACATCTATTTACTTTCTTCTTTTTTAAATATACATATATAATTGGGTTTGTTTTCATATGATGAAAGAAAATATGCTTACCATAGAAAATTTTTAAAAAGTTCAGGCAGCTAAAATGAACATTAAAAAAATAAAATTCTTAATCATCCACACCAAGTCAACCATGGTTAGCAGGTTGATATAGGCCTGGATAACCTTCTGTGTATATCTGTATGTGTAGATAGCAAGAGAAAGAGATGTACAGAGAATACACACACACCATACACACTTCAACGTGTGAGTTAGAATTCTTCATTATTGCAGAATGCAAATTTGAATGAATTTGAATTCATATATACACATACATGTACTACTGAAAATATATACATATATAAGTTTTATGCATATTTTCATAGGTATTTAGGGGGTTTAAACAGGTATCTCACTAAAAAACAATACAGGATTACAGGAGATTCAGATGGTTTATTTACACAGGTGTATTCCTTATCCAGTACTACCATTTTTTTTCTTTCTTGGCATAGTGAGCTTGTAGAATGTTATAGTCCACAGCTGCTGTCTTTTCTTTACTCAGTATTTTTGTGCTTTGTTTTATCTTTGCATATCTTACATAAATCAACAGTAGCTTGTGTTTTCTGCTGCTTCTGTGTTATCCAAAGATTTATAAAAGATTGTCTCCCATTAAGGAAGGGGTTCTGTGACAACTTGGTGCATCCATTTATGTGTCAGGAAACAGTGGAATTAAAGGATGTAATATTTACTTAATTCTTTATCAAATAATAAGACACTATTCATTTATCATCTAATCCCATGTATTGTGATATTAAGATATGAAGGGACAATGGTGAAAATTCTAGGCAGACGACTTTGACATCTGCCTAGAATTTTACACTCATATTTTACATTCATAATTATGTTAATTCCACCTTTGCCAAAATGCCACTATGTTTTGTATAATTTATATTACCAGCATAATTAACATTACCAAGCATATTTAGAAATGTCACTATGTTTGAAACAAAAGTTAAACAATACAAAAAGGTAAAAAAATGGGAACTGAAAATCCCCCACAATCCTACATCCTGGAGAAGATAACACTGAATAATTTTTATAAGCCTTTCAGAGCTTTTTCTAAGCACATATAACCATATCTACCAATCTATGATTTTATTTAGTGGTTTTTACAAAATGAGGTTCTATTATACAGACTGTTCTGCAACTTGATTTTCTTAACATCATAAATGATTTTGCAAATCAGGACATACAGATTGACATCATTTCTTTAAAGAGTTGCATATACTTTTATCACATGTTAGGGCCTACAATTTATTTAGGTAACTCCTATGGCATAATATTTGTGTTATTTTGGAGTTTTTATCATTACCAACAATGCAGTTTTGCACATCTTGTACCTATGTCTTTGAATTACTTAATGGAGGCTAAACAGTCAAAAGTAGTCTCACTTAGTAAAAGAATAAGCATGTTTAAATTTCGATGGTACCAAATTATGCTCTAAGAAGACCGTGCCAATTTACCCTTCCTCACCTTCTGCAGCAACAGATCTTATCAATCTTTTAATCTTTGCCAATCTGATAGTTATAAACTTATTTCAGTTGTCTCTCAATTTACAAAATTTCCTTGGCTAATAGCAATATTAACTCTATAATGCTGATCACAAATAATTTTTCCCAGTTTTCTTTTGTCTTCTTCAATCTATGGGTTTCACCCAACAAGAGGTTCAACTTTTCACATAGTCAAGTGTATCCATCTATTCCTTGTGGTGTCTGCTTTCAATACCTTGCTGTGCAAGGCTTTACCACATCATGGTTGCAAAAACTTCACACATATTTTCTTCTAGTATTTTTATAATTTCACTTCTATATCAAATTGTTACTTCAGGGCCAGAAAAACAAAACAAAACAAAAAGCCAGACATGGTGGTTCACACCTGTAATCTCAGCACTTTGGGAGGCAGAGGCAGGTGGACTACCTGAGGTCAGGAGTTTGAGACCAACCCTGGCCAACATGGTAAAACCCCATCTCTACTAAACATACAAAAACTAGCTGGGCGTGGTGGTGGGTGCCTATAATTCCAGCTACTTGGGAGGCTGAGTCAGGAGAACCGCTTGAACCCAGGAGGCAGAGGTTATAGTGAGCCAAGATCACACCACTGCACTCCAGTGTGGGCAACAGGGTAAGACTCCGTCTCAAAAATAAAAATAAAAATAAATTGTTACTTCATGGAGTATATATTTTGGTAGAAAAAGTGAAATAAGAATCCAACAGGCTTATACTCTGCATACTATTTTATAATCTTTTTCACATAATGCACTGTGATCATATTTCCATGTTAATAAATAGATTTCTATGATATTACTTTATACTGGTTCCAAATTTAATTAACCCTCTATTATTGGATAATTAGGTTGTTTACAACTACTTCAAACAGCACTGTGATAAACATGCTCATAACTAAACCTTCATCCATTACCTTAACGATGCCCCTAATATGCATTTCAAACTCTTTATATCTTCTCTAAAGCCCAGACCTTGCCCAGTCTTCTCATCACAGTGAACTGCACCTTCTCCCAAACTTTTGCTCAAACCAAAACCTTAGAAATAATCTTTGATTCCTTACTTTCCCTCAACCTTCAACCCAATCCGTCAGAAAAATCCCATCAGCTCTACCTCATTGCCCACTTACATCCCATTCTTCTCCCACTATCCCCTCTATGCCATTGCCATTCTCGCCTGATGACTGCCATCGCCTCCCAGTTCCTACTCTTGCCCACTACAATCCAGCTTCCAGACAGCAACCAGAGTATTATTTTAGAATGTACATCAGATCAAGTCATTTCCCTGCTTAAAACTCTCTAATGGCTTTCTGTGGTACTTCAGGAAGTAAAATGTAAAAAGCCCTTACTAAGTCCAGAAGGCCTCTGTCATCTGGGACCTGCCTCTCTGACACAGGTTCCACCACTCAGTTCCTTGCTTACTGATTCTCAGACACTGACCTCTTTTCTATTCCTTAAACGGGCCAAGCGTGTTCCTAATTTAGTGCAGGGCCTCTTGCCCTTGGCACTAATGACATTTTGGGTCCAATAATTCTTCATCATGGGGGGCTGTCCAGTGCACTGTAGGACATTTAGCAGCATTCCTGGTCTGTATCCACCAGATGCCAGTAGCACTTACCTGGTTATGACAACAGAAAATGTCACTAGACATTGCCAAATATCACTAGACAGGAGGACAAAATTGCCCCTGATTGAGAACCACTGAGGTAGGACATTTGCACAAGCTGTTTCCTCTACCTGTAACATTCTTGTCTCCTGGATCTTTATGGCAAATATGTTTTTCTGATATTCAAGACTTGGATCAGATGTCACCTCCTCAGAGAGGCCTCCTCTGTCATCCCCACCCACTAACAATCACCTACAGTCACATCGCCCTGTTCTATTTTTGTAATTGCTCTTATCACTGCCTAGACTAACCTTATTCAGTGATTGGTTTACTTGTTTGCTGTTTGTCTCCCCTAGTAGGATGTCAGCTTCAGGCCAACGGCAATGTCTGGCATGGATGAGCAGATGTTCAGGAAGTATTTGTTCATTGAAAAAAAAAAATGAATTCCCAAAAGTGGAAATCAAATATCTCTTTGTTGTTAAATCTAGTGGATACTTTAAAGTTATTGTGTTAATTCTCTCCAGCATTTGCCACTCACTCCCATTGGCTCCTCTGACCCTGTGTTCTCCTAGCGGACCCCACCTCTTGGGCTCTCTTTTCCAGTTGCTTTCCTCTTCTTCCTTGGCCCATCCCTGACACTCTGCTCTTCAGAGAAGTCCAGCCTAATGCCTCTTCCAATGCCACATCATCTAACAACGTGACCTCAGCTACTCCTGTGATTCATCAATTACTGTCTATTTTCTCATAATTCTCCAGATGCAAGTAGCCACTGGGATGTCCCACAGGCCCCTCAAGTTCAATATTTCCAACCCAAACTCATCACTTCTACCAACCCCAAGTCACAACTTCAACAACCCTTCTGGGATGGTTAATTTTATATGTCAACTTGATTGTGCCACTGGGTGCTCATATTAAACATTGTTTCCAGGGGTGTCTGTAGGCATGTTTCTAGATGAGATTAGCATTTGGATAGGTGGACTCAATAAAGAAGACTGCCCTCCCCAGTGTGGGAGCTCATCATCCATCCATTGAGAGCCTGAAAGAGAGCAAAAGGAACAGGAAGGAGTAATAAGCCCCTTTTGCTTCCTGCCTGCCTGCTTGAACTGAGACCTCTCATCTCATCTTCTCCTGTCCTTGGATTAGGATTTATACCATCAGCTCCTCTGGTTCTCAGGTCTTTGGACTTAGACTGGAATTACATCGCCAGCTTTCCTGGGTCTCTAGATGATGGCAGATTGTAGGACTTCTCAGCCTCCATAATCAACTGAGACAATTCCTCATAATGCATCTCTCTATAAATATGTATCTTGGTTCTGTTTCTCCAGAGAACCCTAATACACCCATTCATCATACAGAGCCTAGCCTCCTGCTCCTGAAGCATCTAGTTCCTCCACTGGACTGCGGCAAACCCTCCCAACAGTCTCTATGTCATGGCCCTGCCCCTACACCATACATGTTCCTCTCTCTTCTGCTGGAAACTCTCAATGGCTTCCCATTGCCCCAGGTCAAAGGTCCAGATTCCTCCCCATGCCTTCCTAGATCCTCTGTCTCTCCCATCACATGAACCAAGCTCAACTATGCTCTCCCTCACTTCTGGGAAGACAGAGGCCCTTCCCATGTCTGGAACACTCTTGCCTCCACCTCTCTGTGCCAGAATTCAGATAATATTAGAAGCTTCAGGAGCAAGAGGGTAGGCTCTGTCTGATGAGAGGGCAGTAGGGTTCTCCAGTGAAAGAAAACCAAG